TTAATCTCTATTTATAGTAGTTATAGCTTATAATGTTTAATTATTTCCTGCAATAATTGACTTTGAGATTTATATGAATGTACAGTTATTATTCTACACTTATTAGTGCTGATTTCTGAAAATCTTTTTTTTCCAATTTCCATGAATGCTCAGCACTCCTCCTGTTCCTTCTCTGGCACCATGGCTTACTTATAGCTTTCCCTATCACCTTCATGAGCAATTCTAACATTTCATTCCATTCCCCCTCCTTTCATCTTTACTCCATTAAGTTCCAGAGTATCAGCTCTAAAGATTGAGCGATGACTCCATCACATTTCAGATAGTCACTGTGTCTTTGTGTGTATGTAAGCCTCTCCATCTTAGGCCTAAACTTCCAATATGATGAATATGGAAGTTTGCTGAATTACAGCTCAATGCGTGAATCCATCCCTGAAAAATCTTCCTGTACTATTATTTACTGGGATGATCAGGGAAATTTTTTATTGAAGAATCAGTAGAGTGATGGAAGAATAGTAATATTTTACTTTGTAAAATTTCTATAAATCATTTCTAATTTAATTTATTATTTTACATGTCAATCCCAGTTCCCTCTCCCTCCATCCCTCCATCCCTCCCTCTTACCCTCTCTCCCCCCTACATGCACCCTGACCACCCTCCCCTTCCATCCCCCCACCCCAATTCCACATGTATGTCAATGCCATCCAGGTGGGGTCATGTAGATCTGTCAAGTCATTTGAAGTAGGGACTAGGACTTCTCTCCTGTCTCTAGGTTAAGGGAGTATCCCTCCATGGGGGATGTGTCCACAAGGTCCTTTTGTGCACCAGGGATACATCCTGGTTCCACTGTCTGAGGTCCCTTAGACTGCTCAGTCCTTCTGGCTGAGACCCATATTCAGGGGTTCCTGAGTCAGTTCCATGCTGGATTCCCAGCTATCAGTCTTGGGGCCGTTACCTTCTCCTTGTTCAGGTCAGCTGTCTCTATGTGTTTCTGCAACCTGGTCTTGTCCTCTCCCTCTGCATCTGGATTCTAGTTTGACTCAGTGTTTAGGATGGGTGTTTGCTTCTGTTTCCAACAGGTATTTGATGAGGGCTCCATGGATAAGTTAGTTGTTGATTTCACTATCCTGGAAGGGCATTTATGGTAGCCTTTCCACAGTTGCTCAAATTGTTAGTAGGAGGCAGTCTTGTAGGTCTCTAGACCTTTCTTTAGGTTCAGTTTTCTCTTCAAACCAATAATGGTTCCCTCTTTTATGCTCTCTCTCTCTCTTCTGTCTTCTATTCCTACCCTGACTCAATCTTCCTAGTCACACGTGCTTTGCTCTCCTCCCCTGCTCTTTCTCCTACTTCTATCTCCATTCACTGCCCTACCACTTCCCCTCTATAAATAATTTTTAAATACTTTCTACTTCCACAAACTTGATGTCTCTATTATAACTATTCCCACTTTGTGTCACCTTTACCTTGTTTTTACCTTTTGGAATCTTTCATAATTTTTCTCAGTGGAGTATTATTAGAATAAACTTAAAAATGACTCACTCATTTAGGGACTGTGTGCTGCTTCTCATGTCAGAGGAGCAGCAGGTAGCAATTGAAGTTAAAGGTGTCAGCTCACCAGAAGGAAACTTTCTGATGGGTAGGCCCCAAGACCACAAATCCAGGAATGTCTTTTGCCTCTGCTCTGCCTTTGTATGTTTGCTGCTGCTATCTTTCTTGGGTATCTGGCATGGTGTAAACGGGTATGTGGAGATCCCTACTGCCTATAATACAGTGTGTTTATCTCATGGAAACATTCCATTCTACTAGGCATTTTTACCTGTGGATTATCATGAGGATTATTTCTTTCTAAATTGTACTGTCTAATTGATAACAATAATGTTAGTTTAAATAGATTATTGTTAATTAAAAATATAAACAAAGAATTGTCACACAGCTAGAACACACAAGTTTCTATTGAGGAGCCATATAAACTGTGGCTTAGGTTAATGATTAAGAAAAATAAATTGAGTCCTGGTCATCCAGCTAGCTTAAATTATTTTAAACTTAATGTTGGGGGATATGTTCACAGTTTCAGAGTGCATAAGAGCTGAAACAAAAAGCTTTGAAAATAAATTAAATTTATGCTAGATGTTATAATCAAATATCTTTGAGTTAAAAAACCCAAGGAGATAATCTAAAGTTTTGGAAAAGCACATAAGTTGAATGCAGAATTCATTAAGTTCAGAGAACAAGAACAAAGCAGCACGATTATCATTGGTTGATATAATTTATTGCTAGGATTGGCTGATAAACAAAGGTGATTAATTCCTTATACCCATTTTTTACCCTCAATCTTTTGATATAAAAAAACTATTAATGAGTACCCTAATGATTTAAAGTAGAGCTGACTGATTCTTTCTTATATATAAAAGTTTAGATACAAGATAAATAATAAAGTAATTGGCCCTTCCTTTGTAATTGCAAAATATAATCTGCCAGTAAAGGACATAACTAAGAAGAACAGCTTCCTTGCCTACATGGTTAACTTATAACAAGTTGCCTGGATATCAATGTTTTTTTACCTGAAATATATAAAATGTTTAATCATGTAAGGGATTTCTAAAACATACTGCTTTTTACTTGTATTCATTCACTTGAAAAATATAATGTAATCACACTGCAATTTTTATATTATCTGAAAAATATTGCTGGGGTATAAAAGCTGTAAGGGAAACAATATAGTTAGACTTAGAGAGAAGTAAAATATGTTAGAAGGAAAACACCAAGAGTAGGAGAATTAGGAAGAGAACATCCAGAGAGTTAGAAGAAGGAAAACATTTAGAGAGACAGCAGGGACAGTTCTGGATAGAGATAAGAAAATATAATATCAAATGCGGAATGAAGAATACAGGATAGAGAATAAAGAAGGAAACAAACCATTGACAGAGTGTATTTTTCTCTAAGCCCCTTTCTACTCACCAACTCCCTGGCTTCCTTTTGAGCCCTGTGCTGACTGGGCCTGGTCCCTAAGGCAGTAAAAACTGTGCCAGACCCTTATCTCCATTCTTTTATTTAATCTTTGTATAATTTGTGTGAGGCACTTTATCTCTATTTATAGAGAAAGTTACTAAGATTGAGGCAGATTAAGTGATTTGGCCAAGTTAATTTTTACAAACAACTGGTTGAGAAATGTGTAGATTTATAAGAATTATCCAGGAAGTCCCAACCATGTGTTTAATGCATCTGTCCATCATATATAAACAACATGATTATGTTATTACTCTTAGGACACATTTGAAAAGCATTCAGAAACACTAGAAATACTAATCAGAAACATTTAGAGGGAGCTGTGTTTTTGAACTGATGGTGTTTTCTAAAAAAAAAAAAAAAAAAAAAAACATGCACACATTGTCACGAAGATATATGGATTTTGTAGGAAATAAAGTACTTTATTTCATTGTTTCCTCCTTAAAGATGTTTTGTTTAGTTGCATTTTCATCAAGCATATTTCTTTTCATTATATTTTTCAATCAGGCTAGTGAAATGGCTAACTGGAGAAAGGAATTCCCATGTAAGCTTTGGGACCTGAGCTCAAATCCCCAACAGCCACACAGACACTGGGAGTGCAGTGAGCACCTGTTAATTCCAGAGATGGGAGATGGAGACAGCCAGTATCAAGGGCCTACTGGTCATTCACTGTGGACAGTCAGTGAGCTTCAGGTTCAGCGAGTTATCTTGTTTTTAAAAAAGTGAAAAAGAGCCAGGCAGTGGTGGTGAATTCCTTTAATCCCAGTATTCAGGAAGCAGATGCCAGTAAATCTCTAAGTTCAAGGCAAGCCTGGTCTACAGAGAGATTTCCAGGACAGGCAGGGCTACACAGAGAAACATTGTATTGAAAAACAAACAAACAAACAAAAAAATAAGAAATAAGATTGAAGTCAGTAAAAGAAGAGACCTGGTATTGTACCCTGGCCTTCACACATCCATGTATGGACACATGTACCTGCATGCATACATATACCACACATGTGACCATACACAGAATAAAGTAAATAGCTTCAAGAAAGGTCTAGCTTAATGTGAAATTTCTATGACGTTATATGTCTTTTAATGTATGTAGTTTGTTATATATGATACAGAGAAAAGGTGAAAATATGAGGACTTACTATGTATGTCAAGCAAGTAAAGGCTCCTACTGATAAACCTGATGATTGGGTTCAATCCTTGACAACCACAGATAGAAGGGTAAGCCCACTCAAATTGTGTGTGTGTGTGTGTACATATATATTGCCTAAGATAGACACCAATAGTATTTCAGGAAACATGATGCACAGAATGTAATTACACTTACACATTTGGTTACTCAAGTAACCTCTGATAAGCTGCTTTCGAGTTCTCAAGATGCCTTTCTTCTCTTCTAGTAGTTTGCGCAACATGATAGCTATCAACAGTGCTGCCTTCTCCACTTCCCAACATACCAGCATTTATACTAGCTTTAGTCATTGTGATTAATAGAAAAACAACTGAAATTCATGCCACACAAGAACACAATTTGGTCACATGTATGCAGGGGTGATTACTGGTCTGGGATAAGTAGAATGATGGTTTACCCTTTGTTATAGACATGGAGTGTAGAACAATTCTACTTTTTCTGTTACTGGTGCTACAAAGTGGCTTTTGATTTGCTATGACCATGTGGGAAAGAAAAGGATTCTAAATTATGGAAGACAAAAAAAATCTAACTTAAAACTTATGAGTAGTTTGATTAGATTGTGTCTGCCTTGTGAATTTCAGTATCTTTCATTTTCCTTAGCCCTGGAACTCATATAACCTCTTTCATTATCCACTGAACTACCTGAATTCTTTCTGATATAACCTCATTCTTACATCAGATCTGTGAACAAGAAGATTCTGTGAGCTTGACCTATCAGAAAGGACCTGAAGATTCTACTTTATGATGCTCCAAAGATAAGGATGGCCCTCTGCCAGTCAAGTAGTCTCTGCCCATCTCCTTTATAAGCTCCCAAAATGCCTATGAATTCTCTTCCAACAGCTATTCTTGCTCACATGGTAGCCATTAACAATGTGCCACCCCCTCCACTTCGCAACATACCAGGTAAGTGATACTTTTATGAAGGTCCCACGCCTTCCTTATTGTTTCCAGTGGTACTTGCTTCACTGTGAGAAATGGGGATTTGAAAGTCAGTAGAAATCCATAAGGTACAGCCTAGTAATGATGAGCATAGAAACAAGCCTGGCTTTAACTGTTGAGGCTATTTCAATTATTTGGGTCTTGAAAACTGTTTTCTTTGTAAAATGGGGCTCTTGATGAGATCTTAGTTTCATCAATGTGCTTATTTTATATAAATATCAGAATACTTTTAAGGAAGAGTGACAATGGAATCCCTTTGAGGATACAGGAAACCAGAAGCATCTGTTTCTGGAAAACTTTGTGTTCTCTACACTGAATTGGTTCTCCTGATCTGAGTCCATTTTCACTGGAGAATTCTCATTTTAAATTTATAAGGGAAAAATAGTAATTTCCATTTTTATGATTGAAATATATTTCTATTTTATTTTCATATTTGAGCTTTTGGTTTATCATGTCATAGAAACCATAAACAGAATTAAATATTTATAAGTTTAGACACTGAACAATATTTACTATGTAGTCAACATAAGCCCAGGATGCTGTACTAGAGTACTATGTATGACTGTTGGTGTGCAACTCTTAGATCTGTTGGGCACCAGTGTAGTTGATAGTAACAGGCAATAATGTCTGTTGAAATTAAGAAAAAAAATCTTGGGTAACACAGGCTATATTCAAAACTCAAAGCTCAATAAAGAATTACTTATATATTTTCTTCTATCTTCCTGTGAGAGTTAACATCTAACATTTAAAACTTCGCTATCATTATTTCCAGAGAAAAGATATAAAAACAGAGGCTTATACCTTTTGAAGAACTATATTATACACACACTTACACACACAGATGTATTTAAAATGTTAAATATATATTATACAAATCCTTATAATTAATTGCTATATTTGTTATTTTGTATATTTATTCATATAGTAAAAGTAGTCTTATATGTATTCAAAATTTTCTGTTTGTATTTAAGTGAAAATATATATTCAAGTAATTTTTCCCCTAAACCATCTACAATCAGGTTTTATTTGTGAAAAAGTAAATTACCCTAAGATTTTTTTTATCAGCCAGGAAGTGCAATAGCTATGAGTTAAAATTAATTTACAATCAATGGGATGAGATGTGTGTTGCCCTCTGCAGTCTCTTCCAAGGACACTTGACTTCTGTGAAGTGATTAAAGGATAAGAAATCATCAGTAATGTAGATTTTTCAGAGTTGAATGGAGCATAATGGAGAGTAGAGACAGCAACACTCCTGGTTTTCTCTGTAGAGGTCATTAGTGGATGCTCTGTGCCTGTGACTGCTCTTTGGAGATGCATCCTGCTTGCTTAATGGTTTGGGCCTTGTATTAACTCCAGAAAGTCAACAGTTTTCCTTGGCACACTTAGTCACAGCTGAAAAAATAATCTCATGAAATCTGAGAAATTCTTTGTCTTCAGTAACTCAACCTGTTTCACATGGGAGATGTACATAAATAGGGATGCTTGGTTAAATACCTATATCTAGTCATTATACCCATCTGTGTTCACTTTGAGTTTGGTCAGTAAAATTAGACTTAGGGTTACATATTTGCTTTCTTTTTAAATATGTACATGTGGATAATATATACTGAACATTTTCTACAGACAATATATAGGTAAGTACTTTTCATGATGTGTTGTTTCTGTTTCTCACCAAAACCTTGTGAAGTCTGTGGTAGGCAGAGCAATGCCCAGCAATAATATCCACATCCTGGATTCAATAACTTATGAATATGTTAAGATGATGACAAGGGAGTTATTATGTCCTCATTCAGGTTTAAGGCAGCTAAATCAACTGTGTTTGACCTTGGGAGAACCTCAGCCACCACAGCACATACTGAAAGCATAAAGATTACCAGAGAAAGGAGACATGTGAAAGACTTGACTTTCCATTGCTTTAAAGATGAATGAGGGACGACATGAGGCTGGGAGGCATCTGGACAGTGTCAAGAATCTAGAAAAGACAGCCATGAATTCTCTCTCCCATAAAGCCTCAGGAGTATTATCATCATGCTGATAACTAGAAGCTAACTCAGTGACTTACTTCAGACTTGTAATGTTCAGAGCCATAACACAACACATTGATAATTTCAAAGCTATTTCTGGCAATCACTTACAAGGGAAAGGAGTAAGGAATACAAGCTCTTTCTTATAATCAACAGTAAAGAGGCTTACATATGATAGTAGAAGTCACAGTTGGGAAGGGGTGGAGGCTTCTCTGAATGTACTCCATGTAAATGAACTGTATGCATAACCACATCATTATGGCCTCTAAAGACATTAGTTCCATTTTGCCAATTTTGTCTACTAACCTCCCAATTCAAGGGACTCCACATATCACAGCTGTTCAAGTACTGCCCCGGTTCTCATTGCCTGTGAAATTATGTTTCTCCGACAGTGTACACAGGCTAGCCACCTGAGTTGGTTTCCGGTTTTCTACAACCTCTGGCTTTTGACTCAGAATTCTTTACAGCTTGATAACCCCAGGAATGGGATTTTATTTTTCAGAAGCAAAGGACTGTTTTTACATTTTATTATAACTGAGAATTATTTCAAAGACCTTGCAGTTAGAAGAGCACATAGTGGTCTTCCCACCTGAGTGAAATAGTGGATGTTAGAAGGACTTGCATTAACCCACAAATGTAACTTGATCTCTAGAAACAACAGAAGGAAGGGAAAGAGTGTTTGTGGAACACAGGAGTCCACTTCCACCCCTTGCCTTGTAAAGTTAGGAGTATGGTCTAGTAAGCTTTGTTTTCATTAACATGATGCTCCTCTACTCCTCTATTTCTCTCACATTTATTTCTTAGGTTTATCTTCCTCAGGAAAGTTTTAAAAATAGACTATACACCTCAACTTCTAGATCCTCTGGGAGGAATTAGTGCAATGGCTCTGTGCTTTCCCAGGTTGCAAAGCACTCGTGGTTTGCAAGACATTTGTAGGTACATGTTACTGGTTCTTACTTATTAGGATATAGAAAGAAAATAAAAGAGTTCAAGACTAAAGACACTTTAGGGAATCCAGAAGTAAGGTAGAACTCTTAAGTGAATGGTTTTCTCTGCTCTTCTCTACCTTATAGTACACATTCACTGAATGCCAGGAAATATCATGCTGCCATTCCTATGACTTCAAGGGTACTTTCTGTAATTTGAGAGTTCTTTAGTAGTTAAATATGAAAGGAGCCTCAAAACATGTATTTAGAAAAGTGAATGTGTTGCCATTTGATGTCTTAAACTGTTCAAACTTGAGAGACATGGGTGAAGCAGGGAGCGCGAGCAGAGAGGATTGTCAGTAGATAAGAAAATTGCAGAAGTGTATTGTAATACTTAAGAAATAAAATCAAAAGGGCAATTGAGTATAAAAGAAATGAGAATGACAACAGAAAGTCCAAGAAAATAGAAAAAGAAAAGATGGTTGGTTATTTGTGTGTTTCTCTACACATGTGGAAGCAGTAAGTAGGGATAAATCCAGGAGACAACTCAGGGAACAGGCACTAGAAGATCTTTAAAAATAATTTTCAGAGTAAAAGTTACTTATTGTGTCAATACCATGAAGAAAAATTTGATATTTTATTGGAAAACAGAAAAAAAAAAAAAAAAAACAAATGAAAAACAAAAATGGAGGCAGGTCACTGTGACACGGGCCTATAATCCCAGCTCTGTAGCATTCCAGGAAGAGGCAAGATGATTTGGCTGGACTATACATGAAGGCCTTGTTTTAAAAAATCCTTTAATTTTTTAAAAATTACAATTGCCTTAACTATCTCAATATATACGTACCTTTATTAGACAATTTTGAGTGGATTTTTAACGTAAATTTTGTATTATTTTTGAGAATTTCATATTACAATACTGTATTTACATTGTTTTTTTAATCCCTCATGGGCCCTCATTTCTTCTCCAATTCATGACCTCTCCTTAATTATTGTTGTTTTATACACTCACAAACATACACATTTCAAAAAGAAATCTAAAAACAAAACTAAACAAACGTAGTGAATCCATTTAGTTTTGTTTCTGTGTACTTGTGTTTAGTACACACCTCTTGGATTGGTTACCCTATGGGAGAGCTCATCCCATGGATTCAGCAAATGAATTTATGAAATGAAATAGAAAATTGGTTATCAAAAATGAATTAAATTATGCTTTTAGAGAAGAATCTACAACCATTAATTTACTAAACTATCATAATCATTAACAACAATATAAACATATTATAAATAATATAAACATAGGTTTATGCCCAGAGAAGTGTAGTTTTCACCATCCAAACTTCTCTTTGAAGCATACAAAGATATCTAGAGAAAATTATAATCAAAATACAGAGTTGTAGAGCCAATCCAAAGGGATTCATGTACAAATACTTCTGTACTTTAGGCTAAGGGAACATTGTGGAAAAGAAAGTAGAAAGATTTTAAGAACCCAATGGTCCAGGAATTTGTATTGAGATTGAGTTGATTTCCTGTAGCTATTCATCTGGGGGGTGGAGCTTTGAGAAATGCCTCCCTCTGGTTTGGCATGCCAATAATGTGTTATCATTATGCAATCTTGTTTAGGCAGCCATATTGAAATTTCTTGGGTGAAACTTCTCTGTCATATATAGAAGGTGCTGTCTTGTAGGAGACATCTTAATCTTACCACTCTTAGAGCCTTCCAGTATGCACTTCCTTGATTTTCCTGCCTTCTGTCTCTTTACTCTGCTCAAAAATCTAACAAAGCACTGATGGGCTAGAATAAGGATGACATTCTAGTTCCCTTACCAGTTGCTGTACTTGTCTGTTTTTATACCAGTACTAAACTGTTTTTATTATTATAGCTCTATAGAGCTATAATAGTAGAGTATAGGGACAGTGATGTTTCCAGAAGTCCCTTTATTGTTCAGGATTGTTTTTTAGCTATCCTGGGTATTTTTTCTTCCATATGAAGTTGAGTATTATTCTTTCAAGG